TTCCATAATGACCTCTTAGAGCCTGGCTCAGGACTTTTATCTGTATTTAAAAACACTGCATGCTTTCTTTTGAGCAAGAATGAAATGAGGAAAAATGAAAATATGAAGAAAATAAATGTCGAAGGTGGCTGTTAAATTTGGGACTGGTTTTGTAAAGCTATTTACCATCTGCCCCATATCCCCTGTATTCAGTTCTCTCACTCTGACCTTTTCCTTAGAAGTCTGCAAGTTTAAATCCTTCCCCAGTCCTCTCCTTCCATTTAAATCATGATTTGATCTTGTACCTCTGCAGCCCTTAAAAGGTTTTCTTGGAGTATTTTTATTTTGGGTGATTCATTAGATCACGTCTGCATGTGTCCTTCTTAGTTACGTACCTGAGGGCTTTTATAGCTGAAAAAAGCAGACTTAGCTAAAGAGAAGAGCGTGCCTAGCTCTAATAAATAAAGCACATGGAGTCAATTAAAACAATGTTTAAATAATTTTCAGAAAGGAGGATGCTTGATGTTACTACATCAGAGGACCACAGTGACTTTTAAGCCAAAAAACAGGTTTACTTTCTCATTTAATCTCCAGGTCTATAAAAAAATGCATGCTTCCATAGCAGTCATCTACCCGCTCCAACAGTTAACATGATTTTGGAATTATTTTAAGTCTAAACCATGTGAAAATAAATCCTAACTTGATTTTGTGGGATTACTTTGTTTCCATTAAATTCCTCTTTAAAACATTTCATGTGCTCAGTTTTATTATTGTTGCTTCCAGGAATTTCTAAGTTCTTCAAAGTTTGGATTGATTCAAGTTTTTTAAGTTTTCCTGGGGAAAAAAAAAAAAAAAAGAAAGAAAGACTGCAATTCTCTGCCTACTTTCCCAGGTTTTTACAAACCAAGATGTTTATATATACATCTAAATGGATGCATACACAACACAGAGTGTCTGTGTCATTCTTTATAGTAATAACATTGGAAGGTAGATACATCAGATTTCACAAGTTAAACAAAATAGAGCTAAACAAGTACTTAAAGATGCGGTACCTCCAAAAGAAATCAGGGCATAGCAAAGAATGGTGAAGTCATGTGGATGATTGAAAAAATGACATGCTTTCTTCTGATTCCAGAGTAATGTGCATGTGCTAAAGGAACAGAGTGGGAGAGAGTTAAGCAGATGGTCACATCTCTGCAGGATGTGGGGCTGGGGCTTTGACCCATCACTGGAAACAGTGCAGTGCCATTTCTTCATGTCATTCTGTAGCTCAGGAGTGCTCTGCGTGAGTATCATGCCCAGCTCTGTGGTGGTTGGTTCATTGCTGGCCCTGCATTTTGAAGTGCATTTTTCAGACAAGTAAACTCAAAACTTTCACTGCAATTACTCATATTCTTTGGTCAGCAGTGCTATAGCACCTATCTGTAGGTAGATTTAGGTGTGTTTCTTTAAGTAACTATATACTTCCTCACCACTTCCATGCACAGTGCTTGTTTACATGCTGAGCTTTAAATACTTAAGTTTTTAGCATGTGCGATCCTATTTGGAGTTTTCCATGCAATAATTTTTATTACAGTGATAGTTACAGTGAAATAATTCAATATAGCTGTGTTGTACATTTATAATACACTTTGGTGCTCATAAGGTCACTCTGTAAATGCATGGATTGGCTAGTCCTGACCTCACTGAAGTTGACTTCTACCTCTGACCTCAGTGGAGTCAGAATTTCTTACCTTATAACTGAATTTCCTCAGATAACAGCAGACTCATTTTTTCCTTTTCCTGCTGTTTTATGTTCAGGTGTTCATGAACAGGGAGATGACTAGATTTGCTTGCACTTCAGCGGACCAAGTTGGTACCCAGTGGACATTAGATGCATGTTGACAGTGAATATTCAGAATTATTTGCTGGCATCACCTTGCCATGAATTGTAGGCTCTCCGTCCATCCTTTTATGCATGGGCAGGAAGAGACTGAGGTCAAACCTATAATTGTAGTTCTAGAATAAGCTTTATTTTTGCCATCAATCAGGCTGCCTGTCCCTCTTTTAATTGTGTGATAGGGTCTCTTCCATTGTTTTGTGATGATGAAATTTGCCACAAAGCAACCTCTGTGGCACAGGATTTGGCAGAGTCGTGTAGGATTTGGATTGTATTATCTCACAGAAAAGTTAACTGGATGCTTAAATCTTTTTCTGCCTTCCTCTGTGCAGAGCACAATCAATCAATGCAATATAACAGCATACTTCTCGTCATTGCACTGAGATGCTGCAGCCTCACCCACCAGGAGGGAAGAGCTGTTCACAAGCTGCCTCTTTGTCCTCGTTGCCACTGTTTGGGCTTTGTGCAATGTAAACTGGCCCTGAGCTCCACAGGCAGAAACCCAGAGGCTTTCAGGAGTGAAGACGCATCTGCACCCTCCCATCCCTGGGTCATCTGCACAAGGAACTGGCAAAACTTGGCCCTAGGCTACATTGTTGTAGGTGTGTGGCCTTTTGGGTCAGGGCAATCTCAAACACAAACACAGGCTGGGTGGAGAATGGATTGAGAGCAGCCCTAAGGAGGGGTGTTGGTCAGTGAGAAGTTCAACATGACCGGTCAGTATGCACTTGCAGCCTGGAGAGCGCACCTTGGGCTTTCCAAAAACAAATCCTGGGTTGTATCAAAAGGACTATAACCAGCAGGTCAAGGGAGGGGATTCCCCGCCTCTATTCTGCTCTTGTGAGACACCCCCTCTGCAGTCCTGCATCCGGATCTGGGACCCCTAATGCAAGAAGCACATGGACCTGTTGGAGCGAGTCTAGAGGAGGCCATGAAGATGCTTCAGGGGCTGGAGCATCTCTCCTATGGAACCAGGCTGAGAGAGCTGGGCTTGTTCAGCCTGGAGAACATTCAGGGGAGACCTTAGAGCACTCCAGTGCCTAAAGGGGATGACAAGAAATCCAGAGAGGGCGGTTTGACAAGGGCATGTCATGATAGGATAGAGGGAATGGTTTTAAACTGACAGAGACATTTAGATTAGATATTAGGCAGAAGTTCTTCCCTGTGAGGGTGCTGAGGCACTGGCACAGGGTGCCCAGAGGAGCTGTGGCTGTCCCATCCCTGGCAGTGTTCAAAGCCAGGTTGGACGGGGCTTGGAGCAACCTGCTCTAGTGGAAGGTGTCCCTGCCCGTGGCAGGGGTTGGAACTGGATGAGCTTTAAGGACCCTTCGACCCAAACCATTCTGTGATTCACTGCAGCCGTGTCTATGGTGTGCTGTGTTGGTGGAAGCAGAGCAGCAGAGTCCAGTTGGAGCTGAGCTGCCAGCCTCCACCAGGACAAGGTGAGGGCTCCTCTCCATAGTGATCATTCCTGAACTCTGTCCTTTGTGGAGCTCACAAGACCTTGCTGCAGTAGCAGCATTGCTAAGGGTGGAAATTCAGTGGGCTTCAATAAAATACCAGTGCCTAAGAAGAGCTTGAGGGAAGTTTACATGTCCATCTGTCCTGCTGACTGAGGACTGTGGTGCATGGCTTTCCTTTCTCTTTCCTAACCTTATGTATGACACATAATTTGTGAGGGACAACCGGAGACCTGAAACTCACTAGCTGTATCTTCAGTGAATTATACATTAGGATCCAGCTGTAGCCACCCAGGACATGTCTTTAGTCCAAATGCATCTACCACACTGCCCTTTTGACAACAGTTACATTTTCTTTATTATATTATGATATATTTTTATTTGGGGAGGATTTGCAGTGGTTGTCATGTTACTTACAGAAACTTGTGTGCTTGTAAGCTTTGTTGTAACTGGCCTTGGTTTGACCAGTGGGAAACAGCAGGATTATGGCCATTCCATGCAAAATATCCTAGGTCAGACCCTCTTTTGCTCTTTGTGTCCCTTGTCTCAAGAAAGAATCCTTTCTGAGCTTTGTAGGCAAAGAAAAACAACCAAGACAAAGATACAACAAATTGCCAGAGACAAGTATTACTGCCTCTCTGACTATTTATTAAATTAAAAACAAAGATAAGAGAGAATAGAGCAGCATCTACCATAAAACATACTCATTAGAAGGGCATTTACAAGCTCTGCCTAAAACAACACTTACGCAGTTTCTCTATTTTATTGACTTTCCCCCTGGTCTGAACTTAAGCCCCAGTGTGCTCCCACCAAGCTCAGTGGGGTGGTAGTTCTAGCCTTCAGTATGAAAAAGCTGGGCGTGCATTGTCTCTTCTGCTTGTTTTCCTGGCCATGGGCACCCAGGGGGTTTCTTTGAAGATCATTGGAACATGAGTGTATAGATGATGAATTAACCCACTGTAAAGAAAACAGGTGTGCTGCTTAGGTGGTTTGGTAGGCAGGTCTTCACCAAAGACCTGGATTTCCTGGTTAAGTATGGGCTTTCTGTGGAACTCTCTTGCAAATCACCTTATTTCTCCATCCCTCATTTTAGAATGGAATCAGTAGTGCTTTGATGCTGTGACATTGCAAACCACAGTGCTTATGGCCAATGCTACAAAGAGATGCTTTGAAGCACAGGACACTTACCACTCTCTTCTACACCAGACATTCAAGCTGCAAACACTCCAGCTTTTTCTAGACTTGCTTCTGATTTGTTTTGCCACTGTGCACTATCGAATAAGGTTGCATTTTGCCACCATGCAATCCTATATAGAGTTGCATCCAGTGCAATGCAGGAGGAGAAGCCCCTTTCTGCTTGGCCTTTGCAAGTAAAACCCTATTCTGTGCCTGTTGGCTTCATTCATGCAGCTTGACAGGCTGACCACAGAGGTGGAGCCAGCTGCCACCTAATGAAGACACAGATGGCCATGATTTTGAAGAGAAAATCCTGTCCTCACCATGTTCCCAGGAAATGCTGCCTGTTGGGTAGTCAAATGCTGCCAGATAAGGATGGGTGGTGATGCTTCCTTAAGCAATAGCATCTTCATGCCCAGTGGAGAATATATGATTTTTTTTTTTTCCTCTTTTTCTTCTTTATGTATTTGAATTGTTTTCAAAAACATGGTTTGTTTCTTCCCTAGGAGATGACCCATTCCTGGCCTCCTCCTCTTACTGCTGTTCACACTCCTGGCAAGGCTGAGCAGACCAAGTTTTCTATCCCAAGCAAGGTACAAGTAGGTTAACCAGTGACCCAATTAACATTCTGTGCTGTGGAGTGTTCTTCACTGGCAAGTTTATTTTTGTAATTGGTTTCATTTTAAAAAATTTCTTAAGACTATTTTTAGTTGGAAATTCCCAATCAGATTGTTGTTACTAGTAGGACAGCTTATTTAAAGCTGATGAGTTGCAGTGGAGGCAAAGTGAACTTTATTCCTGTTGTTACAAGAGCCTTTCTACATCAAGTGCAATATATTTTATTTGCTTGGCTTTTTCCATTATTATTTGTGCAATGCAGTGGCTGAAATGGTCATTTTTCCTACTTAGTCATTGATTGCATAATGAGGTTTAGGCTGTACGGTCAAATTACAGTGACTTAAAATGTTCCTGCATGTGAGCAGTGCTGTGACATCTGTGTGCATGCTCCAAAGGCACACCAAGTTGTGCAATGCACTCCTCAGTGTTGGCCTTGTTAAAAGCACACACTTGGCACTTCCCACGTCAAAAGCACAAACAAGCCTGGAGAGTACCTGCAGTTCACCTAACATGCAGTGAATCATTTAGTTGTATGATTTGAACATGCCTTTAGCCTAAATTCCATTGTTGCCTTCTAGCTATGATTCTGGTGGCACTGTTACAGTTCAAGCCCATACCCAGTTACTGCCAGAGATATCTTGCTGGGAACCAAACAACTACAAGCTGCTGATGTTTGGGGAAGGGGAGAACTTCCCCATGGTGGGAAATCTACCCCAGTCTGATGTGAAGCTATGTCAAGTTTCTTTCTAGAGGCAGACCCTTAGAAAATAGCTTATAAAGCTGGTACTACTTGACATTATGGTTCAAGTAATCATACTGTGTTTTAGAAACTGGAATGTGATTTTCCTCTTACTGATTTTATCTGTTAGGCAGATATTCTACTGCCAGAAATACAGCTGCTATACTTAATTGAAAATCATATGAAATTACTAGTATCTGTAGCTCCTTAAAAAAAACCAAAGCCAGTGCCCAGAATGCCTTGTTTTAGTGGAGAGTGATTGTCACTGCTCTAGCACTGCCTTCGTTGCTGCAGTTAACTGCTGCAGCATTAAGCATCAGAAGTCATAATCATGCAGGAGTATAATCTTCATTGCAAACTGGATCAAAGTCAGTTGAACCCATTTAGAGGAAAGTGGAATCTGAGCTGTGTGCATACAGTGAGCGTGGAGGGGTTTGCCCACTGGAAGCTGTTAAATTTTTTGATTTACACCATTTAGTATTCTGGTTTTGCTGGGCCCTACAGAAACTGGTCAAAGTCCTGCAGCCTGTCACTATCGCCACTGGCAGCAGAATAAGCATAGATTCAGAGAAGCTAAAGTTTTGGTTTGATTTTCTCTTTCTATTAAGTTTGCTTTGAACTCTTAAGATCCACATCAAAGTTAATTTCTGGGCACGTTAGATGTTGATCCTGCAATTCTTTACCATATCACTTCAATGCAAAACATAAATTAGATTTCTTTTTTTGAGCTCGCATTTCAGGAAACAGGCAAGCATATAAATGTTTCCAAGTTTGCTAGTTTTACTTCAAAAAATGCAACAGAAATGTCTCTTCAGAACATCACATTAAATCAATTATACCTAGCCAGATCATAGATCTTAGATGTAATGTAGCTAGATTGTGAAGCCGTACAAACCAGAGATGGACAGTATTAGAAGTTCTCAATTATTATCTCAACTATTATCAAAAATAGAAACATATATAAAAAAGTGTGATAAAAAGGTGGAACTTACCAGAACAATTTGTCCCTATGACATTCAAATTGAAAGTGCCATGTTTACTCTTAGGGCGTGATTTACTTCACAAGGAACTGACTGACAGCACAGTATAATATTAGGAACTAATAATGCCCTGAGAGGAAGTGCAGTGAGGGCTTTAATGACTTTAACATCCTACAGAACTAACACTTCCAGCAAAGTAGTGCCTGGCTGTAAGATGAGGTTGTAAATAACACTTTAATTTCAAATGATCAGACTCTGCTTGGATGGAAAGCTGATTACAGTCACTGCGCACTATAAAGCCTAGAGAAAAAATAAGCCAGAAAACACCGTGGCATTAAGGAAGCAGCTTAGTTGCTGTGAGCCAACAAGAGTCTTGGAATTAGCATGCTCAGTGTTACAGATTCTTTGCCGGTTTAAAGTTGTTGTACTTCCATTGAATTCACTGGATTTGGACCAGTATCCATCAGGTGAAGATCTGTTTCCTGCGTCTTTACCAAATCCTTTTTCACAGTCCAAATAAAAGCAGTGACTATCAGTAAAAGGTTACTGTATTTTCAAGCAGTGAGATCAGAAAGAAAGGCAGTGGTGCTGAATTAAATGCATAGTTGCATTCATGCTGCAGTCTGAATTGTACATCATGGATGACTCATGACCACGTTCATGACCAAACTCTAAATGATTGGGACCACTGTGGCTGGGACCATCTGTGCAGTGTCTCCATGAACGGGGTATGCACATTTACAGCTGCTGCAAACAAGCCCTTGTATGAGCTGGGAAAGGGTCCCTCAGTGCTGCTCCGTCTCCGCAGTTAATGTTGTCACTGGGGCTGCTGTAACAATCACATAATCCCTTCCCTGTCCCACTCCTTCCCTGTTTGTATAATGCCATGGCCTTAATCTAGCAAGCCAAGATATATCTTACCTTCTTCCTCGTATTTCATTAATGCTGACATTTTGTGTGTTCTTCTTTGTAGGACTCCCAACATCTGACCTCAGGATACAATGTACAAAGTAGGTCCTTATCATCTTAGTCCTAACAGTCAGGGTTGGGTATTTTTTTTTTTTTTCTGCTTAACATCATTAAAACAAAGGCGAAAAAATTAATTTCTATGGTGCTAAAGCAGATCAGTTCCATTTTTTATTACATGTTATGCATTGTGGCATGTTGTGAAACCAAGTATAATTAGATGGGCTGACAGCTTTGGGTGCATTTTAATTCTACAGTAATCTTTTGACATTTGAAAATGTATTTCCTTTGTTTGCAGAGTGGAGTGATCCAGCAGGGAAAGTTGCAACTAAGTCAGTGCCACAAAAGTCGTAAGTATCATTATTTCCAGCTTTAAATCTCATTTTAAATTTATCATAAAGAATGAGCTTATTTCTCCAAAGGTACCTGAAATCTAGCTCTGCTCATAATCTTGTCCTGGTGTTCAGGTCTTCTCAGTAGTCCTTAAAAATTAGCCATAAACCAGTCTTATGTTTTCAGTGCTTATTACCGTTTCTTCTTTTTAAGCATTAGCTAACAGAGGTATGTTTGAAAAATGAGTTTATTAAGCAGAAATAATGCTGATTTTAGTTGTAGAGCTTGCCAAAATTGAATCACTTTTATGCTTCTCTCATCAGATACTAAGCCTCTTACAATAGAAAATGCAACCCAATGAACAGATTATGCAGGAATTTTAACATTCATACAGTGAGAGAGAGAGTAGAACATCATACAGAATGATTCTACTAGCTGGTGTTGAAAAGCTGGTCTTCAGTTTCATACACTTTGAAACAGCTGAAAATCACAGATGATCTATAAATATGACAGTTGAAAATTGTGAGAGCTAATTCTCCGTTGTGTTATTACCATTTTTCTTTGGTGCTAAGGCTGCAATAATGTAGCAGTGAGTTGAGACTGAACTGGTTTTTTTTCCTTTTACCCCAGGATCTCAAAGTAATTTACAAACAAGAATTAAATAATAACTTTGAAATGTAGGTTGTTGGTTTTATGGTTATGAAAATGTGTGGGTCTGATTTCAGTTCAAAGCTGCCTTTTTTTTTTTTTTAGTGTTCAAGCACTTTACTGAATACAGAGCTGCACTAGCTTAACTGACATTTGTATAAATACAATATGTTCATTTAAAATTACTTCAAAATTATTCTAGTAGTTCCCCTCAATTTACTAAAGATGCAATTTTAAGTAAATCACTATATGGGAAGTAAAATCAATGCAGAGATACCTACACAGGTTTTAAAAATTAATGTGAATATGTTGATTCTTTGTGCAAGTTTATGTATAGGAAAGGACTTGTTGGAGTTCAGTGATTTGTATGTTATAATTATAAAAGAAATGCAGGACTAGACTAGATCTAGGTGCCAAATCCATTGATTTACTCACCATGTTTTGAAGGTCCAGTTCTTTACTCATAAACTGAAGTCATGCAAGTGCTCATTGAATTAAAGGTTGTTGAGTAAAGCTTTACAAAATTATGGATAAACAAACAATTTGATTTTGAAGTGAAATGTTACTTTGTTGAGATTAAATGGGAATTGGCTGGGAATGCTAATGATAAGTAGTTTAATCTGCATGAATAGCATTTATTTGTGAAACTTAGTAACAAACTAGATTGTGTCCTCTGCCATTTGATTTCCAGTAGTGGCTTTTGTTTCTTAAAGAATCCAGCCAACTATACCCACTGTTCTTGGTAATGGAATGGGTGCATTCGTGTTTCAGCACATCTGAGTGATCCAAACCTAACATCAAGCACATTCCATAGTATAATAAAAGTAAAAAAAAAAAAAAAAAAAAATTATTGCATCTTAAAATTATTTTTTCCTAAGTGTGTTTGGATTCCACAGTGAAAAATATTTTAGTGTGTATACCATAAAATACAGTATTTCAATAGTTTGTAACCAACAGTAATAGACATGTCAATCATGGTTTATAGTTATAAGCTGAATTTCAAAAGAACAGTGCTTCAGAGCTCAGTGGTATATAGTGCATTTAATGGGACCAAAGCTCTCTATAGGAAGCCTGATATAAAACCTGAAGACACTGAGTACATTTTATGAACCAGTTGCTCTCTGTTCTGCTGCTTGATCTAAAGTTCCAGTACTATCAATCAGATTTCTGCTGCAATGAACTGCCTTCTTATGGTAGGTGATAGATTTTACACATGAGAGATCAGAGCTGCAATAAAGCTACTTTTATTTTTAGCTTCCAAATGAAGATCAGCTAACCCATTACTATCACTTTTTCTCTTTTACTGCAGAAAAATTGTTAAGGCAGCTTCTAAGAATTTCCATAGGGCTTTGGGAGGTTAGAAGGCAGTCCACTGTGAGACTTGGTATTACAAGGCCAATTTGTTTCTTTAGATCTGCGTGTGCAGTCACTGCCACTTTCACTGGGAATTACAGTACTTGAGGACATAATGAAATTAAAGCTGAGAGTGGGGTGGAAAGATGTAACGGTATCAAGTAGAGCTGGATAGTGCAGTACAAATAAACCCTGGTAGATTGACAGCTCCTGCAGTCATTGTGTATTTTAATAATATAGTATTTATCAGATTGCAGTTGCATTAAGAAGGATTTAATCTTTCTAACATTGGTCAGTTTCATGAATATTGGAGTATATGAGTAAAATTGCAGTCCATCTTATACCCAGTAACATTTGTTGCTGCACTGTCAACCACACAGCATGATCTTACCGACGTCAAAACTGTATTGCCTACCAATTCCTTATATATTTTGTCAGTGGGATCTGTTACCTGTATTTCAGGTTGATCAAATCTGACGGACTTTGGGTTTGTTATTCTGTATGCTTTGTTGGACACCTTTCAACCTGGACATACTTCTATATATTTCCCAACTTCTATAAGTTTATGTGCAATTCAAGTGAAACTTATGTTTTCCATTTACATCGGTCCTAGTGACAGTCTTACAGATTCCATAGGCTTTGTTAGAAATCCATAGGAATTGGCAGTAATGTGCTTGCATTTACCATGTCACAGAATTATACCATGACATGCATGCATGCATAGCAATACATGGAGAAGAAAGATTCTTTACCTTCATGATGCTATGCTCTGCTCCAGAATATAAGAATATATTCTCCTCCAGAATAAGAATATAGGCAGCTAAACTGCCTGTATGTCACTACAGAAGTCAGGTATAGAAATATTGGCATCATGGAAGATCATGCCAAGGGGATGTATAGTCTTTGCAAGATAAGCTTTCAGCTGCATACTTATAGGGGGCAGAATGAAGGCAACATACTGTAAGGTAGATTAATTGACCAGCGTCTTGATGTTGTAGGGGGATGCAAGATGCGTAACGTCTTGTCTAAGTAAAGCTTTCTGAAATACAAATTTCAAGCTTTTTATACTATTCCGGTGTATTTTATTATATCCACATGCTGGAGAATCCAAATCCCCAGTGCTTTACAGCAGGTAAAATAGAAGGTAGTGTAATTGGCATTGTGTCTAAATTCTGCACTTATATTGCATATGTAACTAAGCTCAGACCCTAATATCTACTCAAAAACCTGGAAAATAAAATTTTGAACACTGATGTGTGCACGCTTGTGTATACAGTGGTGAATTTTTATAGCTGAAATCAGGCTATGTAAAACTACAGCACTTGGCTTCCTTTTCTGTACATTTCAAATTCACTGTATGTCTCCACTGGGTATTATGCGGTCAGCTTTCAGCCAGTCTACTCTGATTAGTTTATTACGGAGCATAGCAAGCAGGAACAGATAAGGTGCAACTAATTGCACTGAGAAGGATTTTCTGTCAACTTCTATGAATTTGAGAGTGCAAACTGAGCTTGTGATTTAGGTTTCTGTTATATAATTACCATTGCAAGTATGTCATCCTCAAACACACAGTCCTTTTGTTCTGTTTTGGTTGTTAGCATTTGGCCTCTGTCCAGTTGGAAACTACCCAGAACCTTTTTAATCAAGCACATCCTGTGTTTCAAAATCATACTGCAGTGTAGTCTTGAGTAGTTTCCATAAAAGCGTAGCTAAAGAGAAGAATGTAATCATAATGGTATTCTTCACCTGTCATAAAATTACTTCCTATACTTACTGTATTAATACAGTATTAAAAGGCCCTTCTCATGGGCTCAGTGAACTACCGGAAACCATTAAAAACTTAGAGCAGCAAATTTTGGTGGACAAGAAAAAATCAGCCTACTTTACAGAGTTTTTGTTATCCATCATACTTACTGATACGCAACCTATGTGGGGGCTAGAGAACAGCTAAATACAGTGGGCTCAAAAACAAAACAAGCAGCTAAAACTCTTTACGTGATATTTCAGCAAGGACTTTTCAAAGGGGGCTCACCACTGGTTTTAGTTGAGCCAGGATTTCATTTCATGGTTCTAAAAAATTTTCAGTAAATACCAGTACTTGTCTAATCCCAAAGTTTATCATAATACTTGATGGAAGCCTGTTGGAAAATGGAAATGTGCTTCTTGACATCTAACTGCTTTTCATAAGTATCTAATGGCTTTTTGGAAGTTCTCCACTATGTCAGGGACAGCCACCTGCGAGCACGGAAAACAAAATTTGGCAGCATGTTCAAGCTATGAATTAAAGGTAATTCAAGGTTTGAAATGAATCAGCGTGAGGTCCTTATGAAGAGTAATCAGACATCAAGTGGATTTTACACCAACGATCATATATTGGATAATGCGACAACAAGTAATGTTGTTATTCAGAACATTCAAATCAAGAAGCACTGATGAATTCTTAACCTTGAAAGAAATCAGTTTTAAAACACTGGTATTCATTCAATGTTGATTCATTATTTCCAGTTCAGTCACATGAACTGAAAGTGTAAAATCCATAGGAATAGGAAGAATGTTTCTGTGTATGTATCAGACTCTGTATCTGAGTTCCAGTCACAACCCAGCCCAGCTGTAAGACACTGAAGAAGATGAAATTTTATTCCTAATTGCAGTTTTTAACTGATCATATTAAAGCACAAGAGGGTCAGTTGATCCCCCAGTGCTGATAGCCTGCTTTCTTTCATTGCATATGTTCATTTTCACTTAGTGAGTGTGGCAAGCTTTGATCATTAGACTAAGTACTGCCTGTTTGTTAGAAGTAGGAAGTTCCAAAGATATTCCCCCTGGGTAAACTGGGAAAGTCATGAATACAAGGGACTTTCACTGCCGTGTACGAATTATGATAAGTGAAACAACAGTGGCATGTAATTGGAGCTCCATTAATCTTAAGAGAGCTCCAGTGCCCCATATTAAAGGGACAAATAGCAAATGAAAACAGAAGGGTCTATTTTGATAAGATGTCATTCATCTTTCATAT